CTCCAAAATTTACAAAGAACTGAAGAAGCGAGTCTCCAAAACACCAAAGGATGCAGGGCTGCAGAACTAAATAGATAATTTTCAATAGAGGAGTCTAAAATGGCTGAGAGGCACTTGAGAAAGTGCTCAACATCCTTAGCCATCAGGGAAATGCAAATCAAAACAACTCTGAGATACCATCTTACTCCTGTCAGAATGGCTAAAATCAAAAACATCGAAGACAATTTATGCTGGAGAGGATGTGGAGAGTGGGGAACACTCCTCCACTGCTGGTGGGAGTGCCAGCTCGTACACCCACTTTGGAAATCAGTATGGAGATTCCTCAGGAAAATGGGAACCAGTCAACCACAAGACCCAGCAATTCCTCTCTTAGGCATATATACAAATGATGCCCATTCATACAACAAGGATGTCTATTCCACTACGTTCATAGCAGCATTATTTGTAATAACCAGAACCTGGAAGCAATCTAGATGCCCCTCAGCTGAAGAGTGGATAGAGAAAATGTGGTACATTTACACAATGGAGTACTACTCAGCAGAAAAAAAATGGAATCTTGAAATTTGCAAGTAAATGGATGGCACTAGAAGAAACCACACTGAGTGAGGTAACCCAATGACAAAAAGACAAACATGGTATGTACTCACTCATATATGGACTTTAGACATGGATCAGTGAAGTGTCAGCCAACAATCCCAGTGCCAGTGAGTCTGGTAAACAGGGAGGTTCCCAAGAGATATGCATGATACCCCAGAGAAGTGGAATGAGGCAAGATTTCCTGAGCAGACTGGGAACGTAGGGGTAGGAGAGAGAGAACCATCAAAAAGAGAGGGGGAGAAGAGGAGGGGAGAAGAAGGCATGGGGTAGCAGGAAGGTTGAGTCGGGCTAAGAATACAGGAGAGCACGATGAGAGATATCGTAATAGAGTCATTATAGGTTTGAGGAGAGAGCTGACACTAGTGAGAATTCTGGAGATCTACAAGGATGACACCAACTGGCAAACTAAGCAATAGCGGAGAGACTACCTTAATATCCCCTCCCTGATGGTAAGGTTGATGTCTACCTTATATGCCATCCTAGAACCTTCATCCAGTGACTGATGGAAGCAGAGGCAGATGCCCACAGCTAAACACTGAACTGAACTCCTAGAACCCAGTGACAAAGAGGGAGGAGTGATGAGCAAAGGGATCAAGACCGTGCTGGTGAAACCCACAAAGACAGCTGACCAGCAAGAGGGAGCTCTTGAACCTCAGACTGATGGCTGAGAGTCCAACAGGGGACTGATCCAGACTCCATGAATGTAGTGTCAGTGAGGAGGCCTCAGCAATCTCTGGGGCCTTAGGTAGTAGATCAGTGTTTACCATGGCGTATGAATAAACACTGGGAGCCCATTCCACATGGAGGGATGCTCTCTCAGCCTGGACACAATGGGAAGGGCCTAGGTCCTGCCCTGGATGAAATGACAGACTCTGGAGACCTCACTCTCCCTAGGGAATGGTGTGGGGATTGGGTGGGGGGCTGGGAGGGCTGGTAGAGGGACAAGGGAGGAGGGGTGGGAGAGGGAACTGGGATTGACATGTGAAACATGCATGTTTCTAATTTAAATAGAAACATATATTGAGGGGGGAAGTATGGATTTATTGATCTCATAAGAAAGCTTTAACCCCAGGTGAACTTGGGGAGTGGTCCACGGTTTTACTGTTCATGTTGCATCATTAAAGGGAAATAAGAAAATCTAAATCAAAGTGACAAGCAAACATTACCCCCTGAATCTCAGAAGAATCACATTTCAAGTTAATAACTTGCATGTGAATGAAAAAATAATGACCCAGAATAAAGTCTACCATGTGAAAACCTTAGGGGAGTAGAGAGTTGGGCCAGTGGTTAAGAGTACTCCTTTTTCTTACAGAGGACCTGAGTTAGTTTCTCTGCACCCACGTGACCCCATCTGGAACTCAAATTTCCCAACTTCCAACCAACGACCTCTTCTGGCAATTGTAGGTACTGCAAGGACAGATAACACCAAAGCCTGTGATTAACACTGTGCCCCATCCCTACCCATGAGTTGTCAACAAAATCTCACATATAGGTTCTCAATAAATTAGAGAGTAACTCTGAGTCACATAATTATCCTTCAAAACTAACAGACAAGAAATGCTACTGGTTTATTTATAAACTGTGTAGCTTGAACAAAATAAGAATAGATAGGTATGAAGTCACACATGATGCTGCAACCTGTAATCTCAGTACACGGGATGTGACGGTAGGAGGATCAGATGTCAAAATAATCCAGAGATATAGAAAGTTCCAGGCCTGCCTGTCTCCAAGACAACCAACAGGAGGAGGAAAAGGAGAGGGAAGAGGAGGAGGGTAGGAAAAAGGTCAAAAGACAAAAGAACAAGGGTCTGACAAAGTCACCTCTGAATCCAGCATCCAGGATGAAGCAATGTGACTCCTCCTAAGCAACCCAGGAGGGAGCAAAGCAGTGCAGATGGTTGGAGCTGGGGTTTGGCAGCCTGGAAGTTCATCGATATGTCACTGTCTCTCATGACTTGATCTGCACATCACCATCTAAGAACTTTTCCTCAATACATCTGTAGTCAGGGAAGTTAGTCAGGAAAATGGGCTCATTGCAGTGCCTGCAATTATTTTCACAAAAATATCAAGCAATGTTTGTGTGCACATTCACAATGTGACTCTGGTTATTATTAAAGGCCACCATTTGATGTTGTTCTGTGAGCACTGGGGTCCCTTAAATGATCTTGACAAGGATGAAAAATAAAAACCATGCAGAGATAGTTCAATGACCTGAGGTTTTATTCTTTCTTGTTCAAGTGTGAGTCCTGCATTCAGTAAACTATCAGTGGGTGAGTATTCTGCCCTCATCTACTTTGTGAGGAACCTGTAAACACCATCACTCACCAACAAAGATGGACCCTGATCTAGTCTCCAGGATTGCATAGCTAATTATACAATTATACATCTGTCATGAGGCCACACTACATCATAAAAATGACTGGGTTGGTGAAAGAAATGTTTGATGTCCCTACCAATTGCAAACTTTTATCTCTTAATTTACAGTTTTCCTTTTCCATCCCAGGTTATATTGGAGCAGTAAAGCAGATTCCATTAGCATGTTAGCAACACAACAATTTTTAACTACCCTCTTAAACCCATGGCATGACATGGAGTCATATCATCTTAAATTGGTGTTCTCTTACATTCCATATGGTTCTGAAATGTACTTCGTGTATCTCAGGTGGAAGATTGGCCAAGGAAAAAAAGATTTTTCCAGGTCCTTCCTGTACATGTCCCATGGAGAGAAAAGTGGGGCTTAGTCTGGGGTTACTTCCTAGGAGACACTGCAGAGAACAGCTGTCCATTCTGAACAATAAATGTGTGATATGTATATCAATATGTATCACTAGTGTCACCACATAAAACACTTCTCTTATTGTTTCCAAATAGATAAGAGCAAACAGACCCCAGAGACAAACAAGAGCCCCATACAACTTAAATCATGGATCTAAATACAGTTAAGGCCTCACATATGAATTTATATATCATAGCCAGAGAAAGACCAAAGCATCAGATAGTTTTGTTCTCAAAATCTTTTCAGGCAGCCAAAGAGATAAAAATCTGAGGTCTTGAGTATTCTGTCACAGCATATTATTGTCACAGGAATTCTGAGGTAAATGCAATTGTTATCAAGAAAATGAGATGTAGCAAGAAAGAACACTATCCGCAGTCTGATGGGCTCTAAGTAGGAGGGTGAAAAAAATCAGCTATAATGGAAATGGTTCAGAAGCATCTGTTCCTCTTCCCAACCATGCTGGATCTTACTCAGATGACTTTATTCATTGGGAAAAGAAGTAACGATTCCAAGGAAGCCAGGTTTTTCCTTCATCAAATGAAGGGGCTGTCTCTACAACAGATCAAGTAGCTAGCTTGAACTTAAGGAGTAGGTTATTCCAAAATCACAAATCTAAATACTGGCCAGAACTCTGCAAGCATACTAATGCACACTGCTCAGGGAGCCCAGAACTGGTGTCCCAGCTGATCCTTCATAAGGTATCTGCTTCTCAGGACTGCTGACTTCATGCACTGTGAACTGTATTTCTCTTTCTAGGTTTTGCACAGAGGAAAGATGAGAGTACATCTTGTCAGGGATTGGCCTCACTGAATTAAAATAACCAACTCCAATGTTTGCACATGAACAGAGCAATCCTGGTTCCTCATAGGCTGTCTCAGTTAGGGTTTATACTGCTGACATGAAACACCATGATGTGACAACAAGTTGTGGAAGAAATTTGACTCACACTTTCATGTTGCTGCTCACTATGGAAGACAGTCAAGGGCAGGAACTCAAAACAGGATTTGAACATGGAGACAGAAGCAGATATAGAGGCCATGGAAAGGTGCTGCTTACTGACTGTTCTCTTGTAGAATCCAGGAACCAGTCCAGGGATGGAATCACACACAGTGGGCTGGGTTCTCCCCCATCCATCACTAATTAAGAAAATGCCTTACATTTGGATCTTAGGGAGGACTCTTCTCCACTGAGGTTTCCTTTTTTCATATAACTTTACTGTGTGTGTCAAGTTGACACATGACCCAGCACACAGAGTAGGGAAGGGTCACTAAATCCCAAAACCTAAGAACTGGGCATGTACAGTGAAGAGACTAAGAGAAAGTCACTTCATTCCCAGCCAATTGTGTCAATGTTTGAGACATGAACGCCTGCATTGCCCTCCCTGCCATTGCCCCCAGCCCTTGCCCCTGCCCCTGCTCCTGCCCCTGCTCCTGCCCCTGCCCCTGCCCCTGCCCATGCCCCTGCCCACTGCCCACCGCCCACTCCCCACTGCCCACTGCCCCTGCCCTCTCATTCAGTAGCCCAGGCTTCCCCTGGTCATCTCCAGCGAATGCAGACGCCAAGTTCCACACTGAAGCACAAAACAAGCAGACACACAAAGGAGCAAGGCAGCTGCTCCCATCCTCACCTTTGCCTTCATTTTGATGCTTGGCTTTGATCTCTTGTGGTTTTGAATCTGCTCCTGGTGGACATTCTCTGGCTCTTCCGTGCTTGCTTTCAAAGGGCAAATTCTGTGGGCGGTCAGCAGCAAGTCTCCTCGGAGAGCCTGAGACTGTACACTGTCTGGACCAGAAGGCAAAAGCATTAGTGCCTGGAGGGACTGGAGGGAATAGGTGGGAGCGAGGAGAGGAAGGAAGAGAGAGGAGCAAAAAGAGTCAAGCCCTGGCCCCAAGACCTGACTTTAACTACCTTGGAAATTTCCAAGCGGCTTCCTCTAGAGCCTTGGGATGGACACAGGATCATGCTAGAACTGCACACCACTGTTGAGACCCACTCAGGGATCGCGCCAAGCCAGCGTCCATTGCCTCCCAACCTGCCTGTGCCCTGGCTGGGATCTGCTGCGGTTGCCAATGTCCGTTACTCGGCAAGGATGACAGTTATCCCAGAAGTCCCTTTGGAGAGACTTGAAGTGCGTCATCGACTGACCTCTGACGTGCCTGGCTCAGCCCAGGCAGAGTTCTCTTCTCAAGAGATGGCTCTGGGAAGGTTCTCTGCTCTCATGACTCTGAGCACATAAATTTTTCATAGCGGCCTATTGGCCGCTGCTGCCCTCTGGCGTCCATAAGGACAAGCGCACCAGGAGCTTTATCCTGGCCTTTAGGGACTCAGAGCTGAGCATGCCCACAGTCACAGCGACTAGTGGAGGAATGCTGAAGCATAGGGAGTTAGTGGAAGTGGAGCTCTGTAGGTGGATGAGATGGAGCTCCCTAGCTGAACCCTCATTCAGTCTGGATCAGTCCCATGCTGGCCTCTCAGCCATCAGTCTGGTGTCCAAGATCTCCCCTTTCTTCAGGTCAGCTGTTTCTTCCCCCAACTCAACACTCCTCTTCTTCTCCCCTCCTCTCCTCCCCCTCACTTTTTTCCTGGCTCCCTCCCCATCCCCAGTACTCCCAATCCACTCAGGAGATCCTGTCCCATTCCCCTTCTCCGGGGTACCATGCATATCTCTCTTAGAGTCCTCCGGTTTCCCAGACTCTCTGGAGGTGGGATTGTAGGCTGGCAATCCCCTGATTCATGTCTAAAATCCATATATGAGTGAGTACATACCATGTTAGTCTTTTTGTCACTGGGTTACCTCACTCAGGATGGTTTCTTCTAATGCCATCCATTTGCCTGCAATTTTCAAGATTCCATGTTGAAATTTTTCTGTTGAGAAGTACCCCATTGTGTAAATGTACCACATTTTCTCTATCAAGTTTTCAGTTGAGGGGCATCTAGGATTCTTCCAGGTTCTGGCTATTAGAAATAATGCTGCTATGAACATAGTTGAACAGATGTCCTTATTATATAAATGTTCATCTTTTGGATATATGCCTAAGAATGGAATTGCTGGATCTTGTGGTAGACTGAGTCCCCTTTTCCTTAGAAACCTCCATTCTGAAAGTGGCTGTACGAGTTGGCACTCCCACCAGCAGTGGAGGAGTGTTCCCCTTTCTCCACATCCTCTTCAGCATAAATTGTCATTGGTGTTTTTGATTTTAGTCATTCTGAATGCAGTGAGATGGTAACTCAGAGTTGTTTTGATTTGCATTTCCCTGATAGCTAAGGATGTTGAGCACTTTCTTAAGTGCCTCTCAGCCATTTTAGACTCCTCTATTGAAAATTCTCTATTTAGTTCTGTACCCCACTTTTTAATTGCATCCTTTGGTGTTTTGGAGATTTGCTTTTTGAGGTCTTTGTAGATTTTGGAGATCACAATTTGGTCCTGCAACCAGAGCCAAAGACACACACTTTGTCCCTGGCATCAGGGCCAGTGAAAGAAATACATCCTGGCCCTAAAACTAGAGCCAAAAGGCTAAAAGGGACCAGTGAAAGAAACACACTTTGGCCCTGAAATCAGAGCCAAATTTGACCCTAATCCGGTGCAGAAAACTAACCAGTCTGTGAGTAGGAGATCTAGACATCCTAAGCTCAGGGACTGAAATCTGACCAATCCCCACCCTGGAAATCTCTGCCCCCTAAGAATCCCTATATAAACCCTGTGTCTATTTAGCTTGTGGCTATTCCTGCTTCCCGGCTGTTCTCTGCCGCTGTGGAGGAGGGCAACCACTTTCCTGGATTCTTCCCTCCAAATAAATCTGTTGAATGAAGTTTGGGTGAGACCTTCTTTCATAGGAGCTGAGACGATCCTGGGTAGAGCAGAGCAGAGCAGGACTGTAACACTTTACACTGGGGTAAAACTTCCCCTGGTGAACTGAAGTTGATACACTCTCCAGGGGAATGGAGCTGAACTGTAACAACTTCAACCAGGAAACCCTCTCCTGAAGGAGCAGAGATAATACACTGGGAAGCCTTTTTCTGAAGCAAGGCTTGCCATAATCCATCCCTGTCCATCCCATCAGATCCGTTGAAATGTTTTCAGTAGCCACAAAGATAAAATCTAAGATGTTGAAGCATTTTGTCAGATCAAAACACTATCCCAGTAATTCTGAGGTAAATGCCATTGTTACCAGGGAAATGTGATGTAGGAATAAAGTGTTGGGATCATAGTTTAAGAGTGAAAAAAATCACCTGTAATAGAAATCATTCAGAGTCATCCACAAAACTTCCCTAGCTACTAGATGTCATACTTGTGGCTTTTCATTGCCATTGTGAGGCCAGCAGCAAACATAGGAAAGGAAGTGGAGGGTAGATCTCCTAGCTGCTTCCTCTAGGTCACAGGGAACATGTGGGGACCACAGCAGCTCTGTGCACCACTCTTGAGTCCTGCTCAGTGGTCGACACTGACTGCAGCTGTCTACTATCTGCTCATGCCCTGCTGGAATCTTCCACTGCTGTCAGTGCCCTGCAGGCTGGCAGTATGGCAGTTCCCATGCGAGTCTCCTGGTTGACACTTGATAGATGACAGCAGCATTCAGAATCACTGGATTCGGCACTGGTGGATGAAAGCACATGAATTTTCTGCTGCCTTGGTCACTAGATGCCCTGATCCTCTTCTTCACTGACCTTTGGCCGCCACTGAGCCTGGGCAGCCATGACAATATGCACACCTAGAGCAGTGTCCGAATGGGAAGATCGTCCAGTGTTTCTCCTGAGCTGATTGCTGCTAGCATCTCAAGGAGAATGTCTTCTCCTGGACAAGAGGACTTAGGCATGGTGGGGACCTGTTGCCGAAGGGGTCGGTGCTCCAGGGCTGAATCTTTCTCTACAATCGCCCTGGTGCCCACTAAGGGCTTGTCCTGGAGAAGGATGCCCTTTGTGATTGCCCTGGGTGGTACTCCCAGTGCCTTGTTGCACTGGGACTCAACAGCGTATACTACATCTCGAGACCCCTACAACCTGGAGACAGACCTTCCTCCAGCCTGCCATGTGGGTTTAGCTGGAATGGTTTCCAGTGGTTGAACTCCAGAATTGAGTGTAACCCTGATCAATTCCAAGGTGTAAGCTAGTTGGTGGTGGTGGTGCACGCCTTTAATCCCAGCACTCAAGAGGCAGAGGCAGGTGGATCTCTGTGAGTTCAAGATCAGCCTGGTCTACATCACAAGTTCCAGGATAGGTTCGAACAGATACACAGAAAAACCCATTCTGAAAATACCAAAAAATATAAAGAAATAAATGGAAAAATGAATGACTGAATGAATAAATAAATAAATAATAAATCAAGGTGCTTTACTCCAAGAGGAAACCTGAACATTAAATGATGAAAGATCTGCCTGTTAAGAATCAAAGGGGAATGAAACTCTATAGTTGAGGCAGGGAGGAAAACTTGAACTCCATCACTGTCTCCATCCTACACCCATATCGTACACAAGGATGAGTGGGAATCTGATAGGAATAATGACAGGAATCAGTCACACTTAGGATGGTTCTGGCTTTCATCCAGCTCTGTATAATCACTAGGGCTTTTTCTGGTTTCTCTCAAAATATTTCTCAAAAGCTCTGGACCTGGTTTATCAAAATGAGAAGTCAATGACCTATCTAGTATAAAATGTTTCCACTTTGACATTTTAAGTTCATAGAGACTTTTATACTCTGAGCACTCACTCCTGTAGTCAGAGATTAACAACTTTTAGTGTTGACCAAACACATTCTGAGAGGGAGGGAATCAGCATTAGGTGCGTGTCCTAAAGGACCTCACCATATATTGCATATGTAAGTAATTACAGGCAGTGTGGACAGGCTGTAGGGAAAATTTGTTCATCCAAATATAGGTCTATGGGCAGATGGAAGGAAGAAAACATGGACTATGTGTATCAGTCAGCTAGGACAGTAAGAAATCACAGAAGCATAGTACTACAACAATTAGTGGCTAGTTTGCATTGAAGGAGAATTAATCAGTGGCATCACAGATGAAGGAATCCCTGAACCCTATCTGCAGTTACTGAAATTAAAGGTTGAAGAGCAAGCAGTTGGTGATCTGACTTGGAAAGAACAGAAGCATTCCAGGGAGAAGAATGACTTCATTCTGGGTGACTGCAAATATATTTACAAAGGTCTACTCAAATCTAACGAATGCTAGGAGGTGAAAAATACCTTGAAATTTTTAGACATATGCAGAACTCATGTCTATCCAGTGGGTGGGTATTTTTCAAATTGTTTTTTTTTTCAATTTATTTTTTTAGCAATCTTCTGTTTTATACCTAAATACTGGACAGGTGGAATGCTCTGCATAGTTGGAAGATTTCCAGGCCTGACTTGGAATTCCTTTATTTTATTAAATGTTCACTTGATTTTCATCATGACCCATGTCTTGTACTAAAAACAAAACAAAACAAAAACCATGGTATCCAGTCCTAAGTGAATGAAATGTTGCAGCACAAGGAAGGTCTCAGTCAGAATGTTTTATCCTGTGCACTCTTCACTGTGGCATGAACTTCTTGCAGTTGTCCCGCACCAAAGCTCTGGCACTGACACTTGTAGCAGCTCCTTGGTCAGGACACCTATGTCCTGTTGATAGCTGAGTGTGAAGCCCACAGACATGTCAAGTCTGCAGCATGACCACAGGGATGCCCAATGCTTCTTGATGGCATTGGCATGAGTAGCACAGGAAGGAGCTAGGGAGGTCTGGTGTGCTTTGGGTCTCGTGGTCATGGGGTTCTCATCTAGATTCACGGGCGGCTGGCTCAGATCTCTCATTACTCTGCCCTTCTTTCTCCATGTATCTCACTTTAGGTTTCCTTCCTAGCCTTATCCTGCCTTGCTATAGGCCAGATCAGCTTTAGTATCAACCAATGAGAGAAATACATATTCACAGCATACAGAAGTGTTAGCCCACAGCATTTTCCCCTTTTTGTTTATTCAAAGAGGAAGGGTTTAACTTTAAACTTTAACAGTATAGGTTACATACAACAAAACAGTTTTCAAGTAAGAACTATAGTCACAATATCTTGTCTATTTGTATTTGATAAAATTATAGAAAATTATATAGAAAGTTATAACTCTAATTATCTAGTCTTCTACTCAATCAAGGTTCCAGAAGGATGAAGTTTTAGCTAATGAAAGGGACATCTGACTGCCTGGACTGTCATCCAAAGTTCTTTTGTAA